TGTTTAATGCGTTCCAATGGCTTTTTACTTTCCGTTGAGCGATGTTTCACACAGCGAGGGTTAATCTGGAATGGATTAACCTCGCTGTGCGAGGCACCACTGTATCTGTTGGGGAGTGAATGGAGTGACAATTTAAAAATCCTGTTCAGTTTTTTTTTTAAGTTTTCTTTGGGTATTAATTCTGCTACCATGTCTACCACGCAGTTAACAGAGTAGCACACGAAGCTCAGATTTTAGAACTGCAGCCTGGGGTGGGAGAAGGGAAGATGCTGATAGCCTTTGACATGCAGAATTTAACATGAGTCAGGAGCTGCGTCTGCAAACGTGCGTGCTTCCCCTAGGTCGATGCCTAGGAGGAATCAAATGGCAGGTTTGAGTTTTAGCTGTACTAGTGCTGGGTCTGCCACTGTTGGCCAAACCATGTTGTGTTTGTGTACCTGTCATTGTGTTGCAAATGTTAATTTTGAAATAATGCATTTCTGAAAGCAGCAAACACACACCGCACAAAACGACAGTAATGGGTGGAGGTCAACCCAACCCCACTGGGTGTCCGCCGCCCACCTTCTCATCCTGGGGCTGATCTTTACAGACCCTCCGGAGGAGACCTTGGTGGAAGGCAGCGTCCTGAACACTCCTCTGCAGGGAACCCTCCACATTCCGGAAGTTCCTGTTGAGACGACGGTACCGAAACAGGGACAGAACCTGTGGTGAGATGTTTTTCACGTCTTTCTTTCAGGCGGGAAGGAAAATGGACCCTGAGCATTTGTGGGGAGGGAGGATATCTGGAAACATACTTGCAGGCTTCAGTTTATTTGCGGGAGCAGACCTGATGGATCCGTAGGACTTGTGTAAGGGTTGGTGTGCCGTTCTGTGGCTGATCTAGGAATCTGTTCTGGTTGGGAGCGAGTGGCCTCTGAATGTCACCCTGTATCTTGTGTGTGTTTTGGTCTTGTCCTCCTAAAGAGGTCTTTGCCAGCCTATTGGGAGGAGAAGTTTTATCATGCAGTCGAGTTGAGTTGGCTGCTTACAGCTGTATCCCAAACTCATGCTGCTTCCTAAATTTGCCAGCTGGCCACTTAGTGGAATCTTCTCAGTCCTCTTGCAGAGGACATGGTTTCAGCAGGAGAGCCTGTGAAGTAAACTCCTGATTTAAGGAAATGGTGGCTCAGCACTTTATACAGATGTGGCACTCCAGATCCAGACAGATTCTTCTCCCCCTCCCCTGGTTTGGAAAGTGTCTCTTCTCTGCCCCCACTGAGCTCGCTCGTATCTGAATTGCTGAACCCCTTTTCTTGCGCTCTCAAGTTTCTGTGAATGAACAGTGCGCCCTTGTGCCAGCAGGGGGCGCCTACAGTTTGTGAGTTGAGAGACAGAGAGAGAAGGAGGGAGAAGCACAATGCCCAGAAGTTGGTTTAGCCCTCATATTCCTTTAGGCTGAGCTGGGGAATTCAGTTAATAAAATGGAATACGCTTAAATAAAAGAGCAGTTCAGGGCACTTGAATTCATCCAGGTGTTGTCAAGGGATTAGTCATGGCAAATTGGGGGGGCATGATACCTGCTTCTCAGGGTGTTGAGCCCCATTCTCCTGCCCCCCCCCAAACCAGCAGTAACGTTGGAGAGGCGTGTGATGTCTTCTCTTCCAGGTTTCTCTGCGACAGCCAGAAGGAGCTGGACGAACTGTTGGCATGCCTGCACCCTCAAGGAATCAGGGAGAGCCAGCTGAAGGATCGTCTGCAGAAGAAGTGAGCGAGGGCTGGAGTTACCCCAGGGCAATCTCTGGGTCCAGGGCTGCAGAACCATGTTTGCCCAGAACCGGGGCGGGAGGAGCCATCGGGAGCGTTCGGTCAGAGGGTGCTTGATGCTCTTGTGTTGAATTCTTGGGTAGATAAAACAGTGCAATGCAAAGTGACTGAAACTGACTGAAGAATGTAAAATGCAAGTGTTGACAATGTGGTGGGTGTAGAAAGAGAACTGAGTGCATAAACCGTGGGATCACAGCAATATAAAGCACAAGTTTTCCTATTCAATTGATTTGATGCCACACGGCAAGAGTCAAATGCTTGCCCACCAGCACTTGATGCTGAGAATTGGTGCCGCCCTAGAGGGCTCGACTACAAAAACCAATCCGAAGAGAACTTGCACACAAATAAGTTCAGTGTGTTTCAGCTCTAAAAAAAGCCTTCCTTGGCAAGCCGGATTGATTTGGGTTTTACATTAGGCAGAATATTACTGAGTGCATGTTACTCAGTTAATCCTGCAGGTGTAAGAGGCTAAAGCGGGAAACCTTTCCTCCTTTGCTCATGGCTGAGGCCAGAATCCTCTTATGCTTTTTACTGAGCAGAAAGCCCCACCAGTGTAGAAAGATTGTCTGCACTTGGTTTGGCGTGATGGCTAAGATAGTCTTCCGTACGGAGACTGTGACTGGTAGCTAAGCCTCAGCGTACAGGACTCGGCCCTGGTGTGCAGCAGTCCTGCATCAACTGGGCATGTGTGGAAGCCGAGGCCTCCTGCCTTCCAGCTTGACTCAAGTGGGAGGATTGGCGATGCCTCATCACCCTTTGATCTCCTTCTCTCTCAGGTATCCAGACATCATACATTCCATCCACTTGGCTCGGAAGCAGAACCTCGGCCTGAAGTCCTGCGATGGCCACCAGGAATTGCTGAGTTTCCTGCGCAGCGACCTCATTGAAGTGGCCACGCGGCTCCAGAAGGGAGGCCTGGGATGCGTCAGCGAGGCGGAGTTTGAAGCCAGAGTGAGGAGTGGGGCGTGCAGGGCAGAGGGTGGGGAGGAATCAGGAGCAGAGGCCCTCGCGTCAAGGGGTCAGGTTTGCCACCACTGCAGTCCCGCTGGGTCAAGAGACAGGGTTTTTGGGGGGGGGGAGCAGGTGAGATGCTTGAGATGTGGGAGACCAGCAGCCTTTTCCAGAACGCTTTTTTAAATGGCTTCCTCCTTAAGGCTCCTCTTCCCGTTTTCAGTGGTGGCAATGAGCCTCATTAATGAATCACCAGATTAGGGCAGCTTGGGTTTAGATTGGGTAAGACTGGGTGGCCCATCCAGTAAGCCTGGGAGATTTCTCTGGCCCCTGAGAGGTCACGTCCTGGAGCCCTGCTTTTATACCTTGCTGTTAGAGCCGCACCTAAGAAAGACCTGCCCCATGGTTGTTGAAGCGTTCCCTGTCCATCAAGCAGGAATGGGGAGCTCCCTTCCCGAGGCATCTTATTTTGGAGGAAGGAGATGAAAGAGCCGTCATGGGTCTGTGTTTTCTTTGTGACCTCAGGTAAGCTCGCTGGAGAGCTTGAAGGACTTTGGGGAGTGTGTGGTCGCCCTCCAGGCCAGCGTCTTCAAGAAGTTCCTGCAGGGCTTCATGGCCCCCAAACAGCAGAAGAGGCGGAAACACCAAGGCGAGGATGCCATTGCCAAGGCGGAGGAGGTGGACGAAGAGAAGAGGGTGGCCGAAGAAGCCAAGGTCCGAAATGGGGTGGAGAAGTTGGGCTTATCTCATCCAGAGAGGGGTCAGGGGAGCGTGGGTGTAGAGGGAAGCTTGTGGGTGCCCAGTGATGCTGGCGGTGCATCAGTGGAAGGCAGAGGGAGAGCAGGCCACTCCCCACCCCCCGGGGCAGCATTTTGAATGGAGAGATTTTCTAGAAGATCAGTGTTTTGCATTGCAGACGTGTTAGGAACAAAATGTGTGTGTGTCGTGTGTGCGGTTTGTTCTTCAGTTTTCATTCTTCTGGAAAACTACTGACGGGAGCTGCTTTTCTCTCTTGCTCTTGTGTAACCTGCCTGGCCCTCTCTTTCACCTCTTTTTGGGCCAGAGAGGCTGACTGGTGGTGCTTGTTCCCTGACCTTGGGCAGCCGTCTATTGCCTGGCTGCCGCTTTGCCAGGCGCCAGGGTTAACAAGGGCCAGAATCATGGAGAGCAACATGGCTCCGATCGGGAGCTTCTTGTCTTAGTCTTGCGCTGTTGGGCAGTGAGCGGAAGCCAGTCTGGGGTCTCTTTCCTGCTTCTTTCCATCTTAATGGGAAGAGAGAGAACAACAGGCAAGCTTCATTCTTAAAGCTTCCTGTTGGTCTGTCTCGTAATCCTTGGAACTGGGACCGCCGCACATTAAAGATTTGCTGGGCATTGTGAGCTATTCTGGTTTCTCTGGTCAGAGGACCAGGGGCCTCCAGGGTGTCTTCTTAGCCCTTTGGCTCTTCAGCTGGAGGTCCTGCACTGTCTGTGCCTGCCCTCGCCTCCCCTCCTCTCCTGCTTTGCCTTGCTGAAGGCTTAGGTTGGGGCAGTAATCCTGTGCAGGCCCAGTGCCCCCCCCTCCACAGCAGAACCTGGGAAGCTGTGCTTGAAAGTCTGATGCTTTCTCCAGCGTAGGGAAACGGGAGCTGCCAAGAGCTGGAGGTTTGTTTTGACCCGGCACCTGAGCAGCCAAATTCCGGGAGCAGCTTTTTGGAAAACCGATGTGTCTGAGAAGCATTCTGAGCATTCGTGAGGGTGGGGGGGAGAGAGAGACCCAGACGAGCTTGGGAGCCCACACGATTTTCCACCAGGTCCCGTCCCAGTGAGCAATCAGGAGGGAATTCTAGACGGGTGTGATGGCTTGTTTTCTTAGGCACCCGTTGTTTGACGCTGCCCTCCCTTCCCCGGATTCAGTGGGAGGGGAATGTGCAGCTCGGCAAAAAAGGTTGGTTTTCTTTGGCTCCAGAATTGCTGTTCGCAGCAAAGGTCACCACGTTTCCCCCTCCCCCCCAACGTGCGATTTGCCTGGGGAGGGAGAGGGAAATGGGGGAGCCGAGCGCCTACCTGAAGTCCTTTTTAAGTGTCACCCCCTTGCCACCTCCCTTGTGGGTGTGCTGACAGGCATGGGTGGGGTGAGCCTGCTGTGCCTGTGAGCAGGATCCTCCTCTAGGAGACCACTGTTTGCACTGAGCAGCAACACCTTCAAGCGCCCCCCCCCCTTTGCTGGCTCCAGTGCATAAAAACCTCTTGCTTTTGTGCTCCCATGCCTCAGCTCAACAGGTCAGAGGGCTGATCGGTTTGATTGAGGTGGTCTTGAGGGATGATGGGTCCCTCATCCCCCAGGATCTGCCTCCTGGCCAGTTGCTTAGGGAGAGAGGGAAACCACCGTTCTTCAGAATGGCCGCCAGGGGACAGCCCAGGCCGTTTCTCCCACCTTTTGGGACCCAGACTTTCTCTCCCCAGCTGTCCCTGCCCTGAAGGGCCAAATCCCTGCTGTTTGTTTTTGCTTGAGGCACAAGGGTTGGGTTTGGATTTCAAAGGCAAGGAGGCAACCTTTTTTAAGGGGTTTGCTGAGCAGGAATTCTGGGACTCTGAGGTGGTGACGGTGGGGGCCAGGGGAGGGTTTTTTTCCCCTTTCCACGGCCTGAATTGCAGCTGTCCTGTGTCCCTGGGATGGGAGACCCTTTGCCTTCTGGTCCTGGGAATCCTGAGCTCAGCCCCTTTGCTTTGCCCCCTTGCTTTGCCCACAGATTGCTTCTGCCGTGGAGAAGTGGAAGGTGTCCATCCGCGAAGCCCAGACCTTCTCGCGCATGCACGTTCTGCTGGGCATGCTGGATGCCTGCATCAAGTGGGACATGTCGGCAGAGAACGCCAGGTGCAAAGTGTGCCGCAAGAAAGGTGCGTGCGCACCCCACCTTTGAGCGGGGCTACGGAAGAGGGAACCCCAGGCGTAGAGGCAGCTGGGGGGGGGAAGGAGGAGGCTGAGCAGGCCAATGGGGCACTGCAGGAGAAGGGAGAAGCTTTGTGGGCCGACGGAAGATGTCCGGAGAGTTCTGGGCTCAAGGCAAGGCAGCTTGAGGGAGAGAGCCCAGGGGGTAGAGGTCAGGAGGGACCAGGACCCCTGAGGGGTTGGGGACAGCACCCGGGGGGGACACCTTCAAGCCAGGGAGCTTCCCTTCTGATGCTGGAGCAGCTTTCTGTTGGCCTATAAGCATGGAGAGGACACCGCCCTCTTCCATAGCCTCACAGCCTGGCTCCCCTGGGCCCCCACCCCTCTGGCCTTGCCTTTCCCACTTCTGTGATGCCAGGCAGTGAGTTGTTTCTTTCCTTCCTTCGGACCCACCGACCAGGGGAGGACGACAAGCTGATCCTGTGTGACGAGTGCAACAAGGCCTTCCACCTCTTCTGCCTGAGGCCCGCCCTGTACGAGATCCCCGAAGGCGAGTGGCAGTGCCCGGCTTGCCAGCCCTCCGTCGCCCGGCGCAGCTCCCGGGGCAGGTGCGGTTCTTTTTCTTCTTTTCTTTTTTTGTCTAACAAGGTGCTGCCCTTCCTCTTCCTAGACCCTCCCTAGTGGGTGCTCCTGAATGCCGGGAAGGAAAGGACAAAGGCTGGGGGGGGTGTAGGTGGGGCACCAAGTCCGTTTTGCCAACCTCCAAGCTGTCTTCCAGGGCGGTCCCTCCCTAGACACCAGATGACCAGCAATGATCATCCGGGAGAGATGGGGTTCTGTCCATGCGAGAAAAATCCTTCCCTCCCAGGCCAGGGTGTGTGCCCTGCAGAGAGGAGCACAACTCGTGAGGGTTACTTTTTGGGGGATCGTTGGCTGGAAGCGAGGTGCAGTGTTTAGAATGGTTTCGCCTGTCGTCATGGTATCGGCAGTGGTCACTGCAGCCTGTTTCCCACTCAGCAAAGGCCCCTTTCCCTTGACATGGGTGGGCTGGGCAGGGTCCTGAGTCCGGGCAGGCCCGGAGGGTTCCCTGGGAGAAAGCGAAGGACAGCTGCTTCCCTATTAACCCTTTAGAAACTACGCTGAAGACTCCGTGGAAGAGGAGAGTGACCCTGAGCAAGAAGAATCAGAAGATGATGATGAAGAGGAGGAGGAGGAGGAGGAAGACTACGAGGTGGCAGGTTTAAAATGTGCGTCCTTTTTACTATTCGAAATGCAGGGACCAGCCTGGGTGTTGTTGGAAGCAGGCTACTCAGGGGCAAACCTGGGGGGGGGCACCGCAGGTGGTAGGCCGCCTTCTGGTTAGGACGGGTCTATCCTTGTGGAATCAATTATTTTGTGTGTGTGTGTGCATGCGCATGAGGGAATTCCAGGCAGCGCCTAAGAAAGCGTCACTCCAGGCCCCAGGTGGAAGCCTTGAGGGGGGGGGAGGCAGAGACGGAATGCGGGGGGCCCCCAGAATGGCTTCACGAGCAAGCGGGCGCCGAGCGAATGATCCTTGAGGACAGTGCTGGGGGACTGTGCACCAGCACGCTGCGCACATCCAAACTTTCTTGCACTTCGATATTCTTCTGGGCCAGATCATTCTGATCAAAGGCGGCAGAGTGTGGAAGTGTTGCCGTTTTGCACTGAAACACCTAAGAGTGTCGTCCCCCTGTTTGCCGCTGCCACGCGTGTCCATGCCGTGTAACTGGCTAGGGGACTCTGGTAGCTGGAAATCTTAGCCACGCCTGCTCCAGTCCCTCTCCCCCCACCCACCCCTGCTCCCCATTTCCACCCCTCTCAGCTGGCTTCCTTGGGGGCGTTGGCCTTGCAAGGTCAGAGGCTGGGCTCCTGGCGGCCTTCCTTAGAGCAGTGGCCGCTGGCTGCCCTGAGTGTCTCAGACAGACAGACAGCCTGTCCGTCTGTCCTCCCCCTCTGGCTTTGACCTGAGTTTCTCTGGCCCTGCAGAGCATTTTTGGCCCTGAGACCTTTCCGCAGGGGGTCCGTGCAGATATGAAACTAAGCCTGGCAGAAAGGGGGGGGTGTCTTTGCCCAAAGATATGGGATCCGTGGATGTTGTGGGGTCTGTATGATTTGAGTCTCCTGCCCACCCCATTCCGGTCAGAGCCTGTTGGTCTGTGTGCAGCTCTCTCTCTCCCCAACTGGTATGGAGCTCCTTCCTGCCCTGAAAGGGGGCTCCTGGGCTGCCAGTATTTATGTCTGCTTTTGAAGTTCATCCAGGCTCCTTCCTGTTGCTCTGGGTGGGGCCGCCGTCGCTAAAAATAAAGCCCCTGCCGCCGCCCCCCTTCCAGCTTCATAGGGTACTTAATAGGGAAGGTCACTGTGGAGAACACTCTCCATTTGGCAGAGCCCCATCTAATCCCTGGCGCGGTTTGGCTCCCGAGGGCTCCAATCGGGAATGTCAGCCTGCCAGACCTATCTCTGCACATGTCAGTGGCATCAACACAAGGGAGGGCAACCCCAAAGGGCCTGATGGATTGGACGGGAGGGCATGAAAGGCAGGCAGGCTGGGAGGAGGGGCAGTTTGAGTGCCACCGGGTGAAAGTTGGCCTCCCCCATTGGGTTCAAAACCACCCGTCCAGAGTCTCTTGTTGTGCTGCCGTGCTATTGTTTAGCAGCTGGCCAGAGTAACTTGACACCCAGAGGCTGGCAGCTGACGGGGCTTAGCAGCTGCCTCACGTTGTCCGTTGTCCGTGTGGGCCACTTGTCCCTCTCTGGAATGGGGCTGCGCTTGGCCTCCCTGGCGACTTCTCTGGGGGGAGCAGAGAGGCAGAGGGAGAGGCAGGCCAAGCAGAGAGAGAGAGAATGAAAGAGTTCGGTAGGAGGGCCGCCAGCTCTCATAACGGTCTCAGGCAGTGAAGGGGCTTCACCACGAAGGCAAAGGCAGGGATGATTTTCAGCCACGCCGATCAATTGTGGGCTGTGGGGGGGGGCCCTCTGTGTAGATCCCCAAAATGCCAAGGAAAGGTGGTGGTTTCAGTCCTAAAGGTTGGGCCAGCCCAGCGAGTCTGCTGGGGGGGGGGAGATCTGGGTGTCTGTCTCGGGAGGGGGAAGGGGATGGGGTGGCAGTAGCACCACCACCCTGCTGGCTACCTGTCTTCAGGACATTAACGCGCACCTTGTGCCCTCTCTTGACCTGCAGTGAGACCCAGGAAGGCGGCCAAGGGAAAGCAAGGGGGCCCAGCTGCAGACCCTCCACGACAAGGCCGGTACCAAGGGAAGAAGCGGGCCCTGCACGCCACCCGAGGGGCCCGGCAGCAGGGGGCGCCCGGCAGCGACGCCAATATTGACGAGCTGGTAAGACCTGCTGAAGAGATCCTGCCTTGTCAGTTTTCAGGCGTTGTTATCAGTTGAGCAGCTGCCTCTCCAGCAAATACCCTCCTCCTCCCCGGTGGGCCTTGTGCAGGGACCGCGCGTTGGCCGGATGAGCGTAGCCCCTGCTGCACAGCTATGCCAGGCATCCACTCTGGCGGGGCTGCAGCCTGTGTACATCTCCCCCTCCCGCCCCATTAGGGAACTTGTTAAAGGCCCTTAAATAGCAGGCATAGGAGCCTCTCACGAATGGCAGAGCGGGGAGGGGGGTGTCATTGGCATGCTGACAATGCAGAGTGCCACGTCCCTTCCAAAGTAACCCTTAAGGACACTGGACATGGCCAGCCTGCCCGCCGGCTGAAGGTAAATTCCACTGGCTTGCCCCTGGTTGGCATTCCAAAGAGGGAAGCCATGCCAGGACTTTGCTGGAGGGGCCTCTGCGCCTGCCCAGCCCTCTCGGTATCTGAAAACCCCAGGCTTCGGCCATCCTGCCACGGAGCTGGAGAGAGACGAGTGCCTTGCCCAGATCCCTTTCCAAGGTGCCCGTCCCTGTGGAAGGCGTTTCCCAAAAAGGCATCTGGATCTCCTTCCTGCAGGGTTGCACAAAAGGGGGGGAGAGGCCCTCCTTCCTCCTGTCAGGAGTCCTTCGTTCAGGGGCAGATCCCCCCACCCCCCGTGCCTTCGCCTAAGGGAGATGCCAGGCAGCTGCACCATGGGGATGGGGGGCTCCTGTTGTCGCTGGGCAAAGGCCTGGCCTTGAGCCAGGTGGGCAGCTGCTGCCTGGCATGCCAAACGCCGCCCTTCCCGGCTCTTGGCCCGCGTGGCTGCTTCTCCCTCTTGCCTTGCCAGGCGCTGAGAGCTAGGTTGCCATTTCCACGTCCCTCTGGCCCTTCCGGATGACCCCGGGGGCCGCTTTTGAAGGTCTTTGAAGGCACCCGCAGCCCCCTGGAGAGGAGCTGGGCTGCCTCCCCATGAAGGCTCCTGGCCTGAAACTCAAGCCCAGAGGGGGAGCGTTTCTTGGCTGCCCCATCAAAAGCCCGAGCAGCTGCCCGGCTTGCTTCCTGCCCATTGCCTCAGCGAGAGGTGAGCGGGTCTTGGACATCTGAAGCTATGCTTTGCACAAGGCCCTGCCCTCCCCCCTTGCCACCTGCTGCCCAGCGGGAGGCCCAGCCAGGACCGTGCACACACACACACCCCCAAGGGGAGCTCTCATCTCCCCAGCAGTCTCCTTCTTCCTTTGCACAAGGCCCTGCCTCCCCCCTTGCCACCTGCTGCCCAGCAGGAGGCCCAGCCAGGACCGTGCACACCCCCCCAAGGGGAGCTCTCATCTCCCCAGCAGTCTCCTTCTCACCCCCCCCCCACTCACACCCCACAAGTCCCTGGCCACCTTTTCCTTCCAGAGAGGACTTTGGCAGGGTTGGCCGAGGGAAGAGATTTGTGGGGTGGAAGTCCCTGGCCACTTTATCCTTCCAGAGAGGACTTTGGCAGGATTGGCCGAGGGAAGAGATTTGTGGGGTGGAACGGAATCCTTCCCTCTTTGGCCCCTTCTGACTGACCGACCGCTCTCTCTCCAGGTGCTTCAGACCAAGAAAGTCTCTCGCCGGCAAAACCTGGAGTTGCAGAAGTGTGAGGAGATCCTCAACAAGCTTGTCAAGTACCGCTTCAGTTGGCCCTTCAGGTGAGACGGCCTTCCTTGGGAGCCATTCCGCCCCAGGCGGCTGGTGGCGGCCCCGAGAATGGGAGCCACTGGGAGCCGCCTCCTGCCACCCCAACGGCCCCTTCTCTGTCTGTTCTGGTTGGAAAGCCCCAAGGTGTCCCTTTCAGCGGCTGTTCACTGCCCAGGTTGTCCCAGGGCATGCGCAGCTCGGGCCCCATCCTGTGGGTAGACAGCGTGCAGCGGAGGCAGGGGAAGGAGAGGGTCCTTGCAAAGGCAGGCACGGCCACCACCCACCTTCTGCCGAGGGAGCCCACCTGCTTCACCCTCTCGGGAAGAGGGCAGATGCCCCAGACCGAGAGTAGCTGTCCCCTCCCTCCTCCTGCTCTCCTGCTGGGATCTGAGCCCCTCTTCTCCCTGGGGTGGGAGGTGGCTCTTTTAGAGCTGCATGTGTGTGGGAGAAAGGATCTGATCCTGCTAGCGCTTGAGCTGGAGAACTGGGTAGTGTGTGTGATGCTTGATAGGCGCCCAGCTGGCAGAGGATAGCCTCATGACCAGAACTGGTGAGGGACCATGGCAGACCTGTGGCCTTCCTCCCTCCCTTCCTTCCATCCATCATCTTCCTTCCTTCCTTCAGGGAGCCAGTGACAACAGAAGAGGCCGAAGATTATTTTGACGTGATCAGCAGTCCCATGGACTTCCAGACCATGCAGAGCAAGTGCTCGTGTGGCAGCTATCGGTCCGTCCAGGATTTCCTGTCCGACATGAAGCAGGTCTTCTCCAACGCCGAGCAATACAACCAGAACGGCAGCCACGTCCTCTCCTGCCTGGAGAAGACGGAACAGTGCTTGGTGGACATGCTGCAGAAGCATCTGCCCGGCCACACGTACGCCCGCCGGAAACGCAAGCGGCCTCTGGCCCAGCCCAGCCAGGGACTCGAAGAGGCCGATGAGGAGAGCGACCCGGAGGCGCTGGAGTACTCCAGGGGGCGGAAGAGGAAGAAATGAGGGGGCCCTGGGGGAGGCGATGGGACAGGGTTGGAGCAGGGCCCCCCCACCGCGCTGCCCAGATGGAGCTGCCAGGCTTTGCTCAGCCGCCCTGTCTCCCTCTCGGTTCACACTGGCTTCACTCCCAGCAACTCCCTGAAGTGTTTGGTCGGCTCTCCCGCCGGGAGGCAGACGCACTGCCTTTCCTCAAGCGTGCGCAAAGATGGTTCCCACATGTGTCGGAGGCAGAAAAGGGGCCAGGGATCTGGGTCTGAGTGGAGCCCCCACCCCACCCCAGGTCTGGGGAGGGTGAGAGCGGGGGTGCCCCCGAGACGGAGCTGCAACCTTCCTCTGCCATTCTGCGTGCAAGAAGCGGCAGCCGTCGCTGCCCGATGCAAGTTTTGGATACGAGACTGCCAGTCCAGCCGTGGGGCAGAGAGACTGTTCTTGTATGTAAAGGCGACCACCCTGGAGCCTCCATGCCCCAGCCCCTCTGCCTCCCCCACGGAAAGCCGCCTCATAGAACGGGCAAGCACTTAACCTTCTGGGGCAGGCTCCTCTCACCAGCATCCGTGTGCAGACCAGGACGGCTCGTCTCTCTCTCTCTCTGTCCACTTCTTCCTGTGGGGTGGGGAGAAAGCGGCCCCTCCTTCCCTCCTCACAGCAGCACTTCTTGGCCCCAGGCCACAGTGAGGAACAGAGTTGGAGGGGGCAGATGCTGGTTCTCTCACTTTGTAAACCCCCCCCTTTGTTTTTCTACTTAAGGAAAAGATTCTTGTTTCCAGCATTGATCTTGTACAAAAAAAAGACCCCTTGTAAGATACAGTTGTCTTGGCTTTGACCTGTCCTGTACAGTTTCTATTGGGGAGGGGGGGTGTTTGCTTTGTATTCCCCATTCCGCACCAACCCCACACCAACTCCCTTCTTCTGGGGTAAAATTGTTGGACGTGTTGCCCCCGGGGGTGGGGGGTGGGGTGGAATCCATTGGATGTCTGCTTTGTAAACTTTTCTGTGTCTCCTTTTATAGCGAACCCTGTCCCCACCCCTGTTTTGGGTTCTGGATCACACACACACACCCCGATGCCTGGTGCAGTCCGTCACAGCCCGGGCGGCCGAGAAGGACCCACTCAGACCCCCTCTTGTTCAAGGGAAGCGTTTCCATTTGGCCACCAGAGGATCTGCCTACACTCACCGCCCACCACCTCTTTCAGGTCTGGAGCCTGGCCATCTGCGGCCCAGAAGAGTCCCCTACAGGTGGTCTCTACCTGTCCTGTCGTTGCTTCCTTTTGGGCAGGGAGAGGGCTTTTCTGCCCTTAAGTCTCCATCACAAGAACCTCGTGGTAACCCAGTTTCCCCTTTTTTTTCGGCCACATTGTTCCTCATCTGGGCACGATCGTCGGCTCTTCCTCCCTGGCCACCAGCTCTCTCTTCTCTCCTATTCTCTCTCTCTCTCACCCGCCCCCATTTTTTCTGTCAGGACTTTTCCTTTGTTGCTTTGTTGTCTTTTTTTCCCCAGCCTCTACACAGAGACTTTTTGGGACTACATTTTTTAAGGAAGGTTGTTGTTTGGGGGAGGGGGGATTCTATTAAGGGCTGTACTTGTAATAAACAAGAACTTTAAAAAAAAAGGTCGGCTGGTTTCTTTCCTTCCCCTCCACCTGGTCTTTCTGGGGTTCCTGACAGAAAGGGGGTGGGGGGGGAGCACGGCGTCTTTCTGCTGGACCTCCCTGCCTGGGTGCCATTCATTCCCACACACAAAGTTGACCAGTGGGTCCTTGCAGAGAAGGGCAGCCCAGCCTTGGTGCCTTCTAGAGTGTCCTGTCTCGTGCTAGGCTCTGCCTCTAGCCTTTGGGTGTTTGCCATGGATGCCCAGGCGGGGGGGGGGGGGCTGGGCTTCAGCAACAAAAAACCCCGGGGAGCCAAAAGATGTGGGCCAGGTTGGGACCATGGCCATACGTGGGCCCCTCCGGTGACTGATCTCTGGTAGAGAGGGCAAAGATGGCACGTGGCCGTCCACCTGGGTCTTCTTGGCACTGGACTCCTTTTTAAAAAAGAACTGGACTACAGCATATATATGCAAGCAGGCTCTGGCCTCAGCAATATTTTCAGAGTGTGGCCTAAAGCATTGGGAGGACCAGCGGAGTGGCTTAGAAGGGGTTGAGGGGACGTCTGTTTCGCCTGTGCTTCTCCTGCCCCCACCCCACCTGTGACTAAGGCCGCCCCATAGATAGCTCTTGCCGCAGCTGGTGCGGACTGGGCTCCGTTGCAGTTTGTGGTGGCCCTTTGGTTCCTTGTGCCCAGCCTCCCCACCCCCCCCACCCCCGGGACAGTAGCTGGAACGAAACCCAGTGTAGGTGCCCGAAGGTTAACAGTGAAGTCTTCTGGGGGGGGCAAAGAAAGTGCTGCCAGCTGTGTGTTAAACCTAACCTTGGGCTGGTGAAGCAGCACACCATGGAGTTTTCATTGCTGAATTTTTTTTTAGGGGGGGCGGCTTTGTCAGACAGCCAGGTTCTTCCTGAGGGGGTTGAGCCTGGGGACAGGAATGGAGGCTGCTCGAGGCAGGAACCCAAATGGACTCCTCCCGATTCTGGTGCACCCGTGGCATGGCAGTCGGCAACCGGCTACTGGCTTTCAAAAGGGAGAAGTCTTGGAAAGGTGGGTTTACGGCAGAACACAACAGCAACAAAGCCCCCCCCCTCTCTGGTGGATGGTGCTGATTAGGACCGCAAAAGGTCCCAAGAGGTTTTGGGGGGGGGGGCTCTGCAGCATCTCCTGTGGCTGCCTGCCTGCAGGATATGTATTCACAGTTCTCTGGAAACCAGAGAAGAAAGGGGCCAGGCGGTCTGCATTTGCTTTTCCGAGATCATAAAAGGTCTTTGGAGCTCAACCCTGACAGGCTGTCTCCTGTCCCCCCCCCCCTTTCTGGAGTTGCTGGAATCATCTCAATTGTGCTGTGTGTGCCCGTGCACCCCCCCTCCCATCCTCCTCCCCTTTTGTTGTGGGCGCTTTGCATAGGCGCATCTTTCTGGAGCACCAGGCATTGGGGGGGGAGAGGTGTATGTGTGTGAAGAGAGAGAGTGCAAGGACAGGCCTCTTGCGCTTCTCCCCCCCCCCACCAGGGTGGCCGCTTCCCAGCTTGTTTCACCTTCTGACCCCCAGCCACCACTTGAGATGAATGCCCAGCGGCTTCTCTCTCTCTCTCCGGCCCCTTCCCTTCTGTAAAGGAGGCAGCCGGCTCCTTCCTGAGGGTCCCCCACACACACATTTTCATATCAAAGCATCTTGCACAAAGGCCTTGCCCACCCAGCCATCAAGAGCGCCAGGCAGCAGCAGCAGGGCAGCTAGCTCATCATTTCAGACCTGGGGCTTCCGGATCTTCCGCCTCCGCATCCCTTGTTCGAAATAAGGTTGTCTGTGTCTATGACTTAAGTTGCCGAGCGATCATTTTAACCATTTCCCGTGGCCAGGCATTTGTGATCTTACAGCCACTGATGGCTTCCAACAAGGTAGACGCATCGGTCAAAACGGTCAAAACGCAGTCCGTCCACCCTGAGGGCCGCTGTTTCTTGCAAAGGAGAGCTGCTGTGTGTGAAGTTTGCTGCATATTTAACTCAAAACATGACACCACCATGCTGCTAAAGGCATGCCATTAAAAGAAGCCCCCTCTCCTTGTTGAGAAGCCTGGCCCTGAAGGCTTTTAAAGAGGGGCCTGTAACCAGGTAAAGGCCAGGTGAGTTGCCCTCAACTCTTACCTGGAGAAACAAGAGAGAAAAAATAATAATAAAAGGAAAGCTGCTGTTAAAGGAAATTTGACCGATTGATGTTGGGTAAACTCAGTCAGGGGCTGCCGGTCCCCCATGAGGGCACACAGATGGGGGGGGGGTGTTTGCCTTGGGCCGAAACTGGAGATGCACCTGACCATCATACCAAAATGTCCCCATAGAATAGGGGTGGATGTATGGGGTCCAGGCAGAAGGGAGGAGAGACCTACGTTCTTTCCTCCCTTCCCGCTCCATGGCATCCTGTCTGCTTACTTTTTTAGCCTCACACCACCACCTTCAAAGGCTGCCCCCCTCCCGCCTATCAATGCCACATGCCATCTTGCAGGTGGCACGGCTAGGGTACCCTTTCCCGGTACTGCCCGAAGCGCCACCTGTTGTTTGGGGCTGCTGGAAGAGGCTCCGGTGGACACATCCTTCTCTAACTCTCAGGTCTACGGCAGGGGGAAACCCCCAGGCTGCACCTCGCCCTTCCAGGGCAAGCAGGCCAGCCACCTGCTGGGTCTGAGCCCACAGCCGAAAGGGAGAGGGTGCTCCAGCTGGCAAGCAATGCAGCCTCTCTGGCTGCTAGCCAAGGGCAGGGCAGGGCTGGGCTGGACCCTCCTCAGAGGTAACCGGCCTTGACAAACCCCATCGGCGACCTTTCTCTTTGGGCAGCCGGAGGGGGAGGGCGAATGTCCTCTCCCGCCTGGGTTCCTGCCTTCTTCCAGAACAAAAACAGGGAAAGGAGCAGCTGGAAAAGATGGCTCTGCAGATCCCAAAAGCTTCCTTTGGTCCCATTGATGGACCACCAGATGCCCCCATGAGAAACCCCCTCCCTCCCTCCCCAAGGAGCCCTAGATGCAGTTCTGCCGCAATGGGTCATTCAGCAGAAAACGGCCTGGAGGCTTCCTGTAACCATCAAGAGCACCAACATCAAAGGTTAAATTCCCCCTTTTCCCCAAGGATTTCCTCCAAGCTTTTCCTAAACCAAACAACCCATTCCATCTCTTGAGGCAGGCAGTTCCACTGACTTCCGCGAGATGCATTAAGAGATTCTGCTTGCCCACCCCCCAGCACTTCTCCTGACTTCTTGTGTTATAGCAGGAAAGAAAGAAAACACCTCTCCATTTTCTCTCTGCATTTTTATGAGTTACATAGAAACCACCACCCCCGCGGTGCTCCTGGCTTTGTACACGTTCAGAGGACCACCTGTTTCTAGTGCTTGGAGGTGGGGAAAAAAACGTAAAAGGCTGGTCTTATATGGCCCCTGGCATGACCTCTGGCAAAGCTGCCCTTTTTCTTCCCGCTTTCGAAGGTGGCAATGATTTCCAGGGTTGAATTCGAGCAGGGCACAAGCTGGCTTTCAATACCTTGGCAGACCGAATGCGGTTCAGCCTCATCCCAGCCCTCTTTGCGCTGATCCCATCGCCGTGGTTGATCCGGCCAGAAAATGGCATACCCCGAGCGCGTTGCTGAAAAACGGAAATGTGGCCCAAGTGAAGTGACCTTGGGGCACCCAACTGAACCCCACCCACACACCCAATGGTGTCTTATTCTGGACACTTAGGGGGTGGGGGTCTGCTGTGAATTGGCAAGCCAAAGGTTGGCCACTTTTGCTGCCTCCTAGGCTGATTTTCCAGACCCTCACGCCTCCCACTGAATCTCCCAGAAAAAATGGGTCTGCAACTTGCGCAGAGATGCCTCCCTCCCACCAGACCCCTGGCTCCATCCGTTTCGATTTTCGAGCATCCCTTTTTGAGATGAGGGTCGTTCCCCGCCCGCCTCCCCAGCCTGCAGACCGTGGCTTCCTGCGTTTCCCTGTGCTTGCAACGCCCCTGAGGGCAGCACTTTTCCAAGACAGCAATCCCCCAGGCCAGGGATCCCTGCCCCATTTGCTTCGGGGCCTCTGGTGTGTGAGAGGAGGAAACTTCACCAACCCAGATCACCTGGAAGGGAGCACGGGCAAGGATGGAAAAGATTATTCATTGCGACGGGAAGGGAAGGCTGGCTCCGGGCTGGCGGGGTGGCTGGCTGGCTCGGTGTGTGTGTGTGTGTATGAAGCAAAACAAATGCCAAAAGCAGCCGTTGGGCAAGGATGGAAAAGATTATTCATTGCAACGGGAAGGGAAGGCTGGCTCCAGGCTGGCGGGGTGGCTGGCTGGCTCGGGGTGTGTGTGTGTGTGTGTGTGTGAAGCAAAACAAATGCCAAAAGCAGCCGTACGGCTGTGGAGTTGAACAGCTGCCCAAGCAAAGGAGAGCGGGGTGGTCAGCTCAAAAGCCCTGGAGCCACACACATCCACGCTTCTGTCCACAGAAAGCCCGTGGGCTCCCTTGGCAGCCGGCTCCACCCTGGGTGAGGCATCGGGGCCTCCGGTGTGAAGGGGGCACCTTTTACAGCCCTGCTGGGGTGGCAGGGAGCACTCAATAGGGCCATGGGGACCCTAACCTGTTGTAGAAAGAGAGAAGCCCCCTCTCTCCATGACCCCTTAATGGGAGCCTTCTGGTCTCTGGGCAAGACCCTAGAACGCTGGAGGGCTTCCCGTCCCCGGTGGGTCTTCTTCGGTGGGCAAGGGGCTGCTGAGCTGTGATTAGCCCCTTTTAGGAGGAAATAGTGGCGGTGGAGATGTATGCGGCTCCCCAGCACCACCCTTTCCAGCATCTCTTCCCTTAAAGAACTACCTGGAAGAGGTAGACGTTTACTCCAAACCTTAAGCACCTCCTCGGAACCTTGAAACTGGATCCCACCCGGGGGCCCCATCCAGTCCAGTCTCAGGCACTGCCGGTCCAGCTTAGTGGGTTGGAGTCCCTGGGCCAGTTTTGAATCCTCACCGTTTGCCTCCTTATTGGCTTCCAGAGACCCTATATTTGAACTCTGAGGACATCTCCGGGGAGGGCAGGGAAAGCCCCGACCAGAAAGTCTGCTGCCCGTCTGTGCCAACGCAACTGAGCCCGGGGGCACAAGGAGCCGACGGGTTCAGAGGCAGCTCTTTCGTCCTTCCTGTTGGAAACAGCCCTTGGTCCCAAACGCCAAGGACAGGTTTAGGGAAAGCGCCCGTGCATTTCATGCAGATGCCATCAGCGTCTCCAAGGATGATGGGTAAGGAAATCCACCCCACCCTCCAGCTGGCGGGCCACCACTGCTAACGCCAAGGGTACGGAGGCTTGGTGCACAGGCGGGCATGGCTCTAGGAAAGCCACCTTCCTCAGCCCACGTCAAGCATTCAGAGCTAGGAGGAGGGGCACTCAAAGGGGTGGGTGGGCA